CAAGTCTTCATACCCCATCCAGTACGAGACAACGTTTACGGTAGGGTTCCCTATGAACCCGGCCCGTCCACCATCTCCTAGGATATCTACCGAGGCTATTACCTTATCTGTTTATTAGATCACATCTTTTCATGTAACGGCCCCCGAATTTTAAAATGAAATATGTGTATTAAAAAAGTCAGATGCGGAAGCGTAATAAAAATTTTGATTAAACATCCCTTACACTAAAACCAAAAACGTGCTCAAAGTATAAAAGAACAAACTAACTAAAAGAGAAACTTGAAAAATAAAATCTATAAATATGACTACGGAGTCTTCAGGCGTCCCCTTTGCCGTCTTCCTGCGGAACGGGCTCGGGAACAATGTCTTCCTGATCTGAAATGATTAAATAAAGAATGAGCTACACCAGCCCAGTAAAGAGATCACACTATCTCACCGTCACGGAGGTGGGTAGAAAACACAAAAGGACTAATGGAGCATAATTTACAACAAATTCTTTTATCAATAATAAAATCTTTTACTATCCATTTACCTCGGCGAAATTTATAAAACAATATACGAAAGCAAAAACATTATCATCATCATGAAATCATATGAACTGTATAACATAATACTTATCACGCCTTTTGCAATTCAATTATTACACAACATATTTTTCCTCATTTACCAGCCTACTAGTATCCATGGGGATCCATAGGGGTCCCGCTACTCGTGAACCCTTAACACTTGTAATCAGATTCTAGGGCCGTCCCCATACCCCGTCCGGTATGGGCGCCAAAACACATAAGGTCTCCATACCCCGTCCGGTATGAGAGACCACAATCCCGGTAGGGTTCCCTACGGACCCGGTCCGTCCACCATCTCCTAGAATATCTAGTCAGGCTGACCACATTATACAATTATCAATTTACATAACCTTTCATTCCCCTTTTCCTCAGTCAGCATCATCAATTCACACACAAACAAACAAACCAGTAATTTATGCCAAACAAGACAACATACAACATCGGGTTCTCAGTCATTCAACCCATAATCAATAAAACAGTAAAATATGCACACGAAACTATGAAATGAAAAAATCAGACCTCATACTGCATTTAAAACTGTAAAATAGGCCAAACAACAGCTAACCGACAAACACACCAGACTCGGGCTCCATTAGCGACCTTAAACAATTTCACACATCTATTGATTCATGAAATACCGTTTTATCATTTATTGAACTTTAATACCGTGATAGGAAATAGAGTGAGGAATCCTTACTTGTTTCGGGGTCCGAATGCGGCTCTACAGTGCGCCTACAAGCTGTCCCTAATTTTTTCTGAATTTTTCCCGAGGAACTGAAACGCACTACTGGTACCTGCACGTGTCCCAAAAAATTCCAGATTAGACCCAGGGCCCCTTTCGGCCAATATCGCAATTCCGGCACAGCAGCTCCGTCGTGCTCTGGCGACGGCGCCGCTGCTTGCGGCGACGATTCGCCTCGGGTTAGCCGTTTTCGGCCGTTTCCAGCCGAATTCGGCCACACTTGCATCGGTCCCTACGATAAAACAACCCTAAGGCCCTCGGGGGGCTAAAAAATTACGAAAAACCGAAGCTTACCGGCGGCGGTGCTCTCGGGTGCGACGGCTCTCCGGCGAGGTTCGTGTTTTAGTGATTTGGCTCCGATCAACATGTAGAGAAAAGAATGGTGATCACGGTGATATAAAAATTGTATCAAACGGAGGCCGAGAAGGGCCTCATCGGAGACAAAAATCGAGGAGGGGCGCGGCAGCGCCGCTGGATTTCGGCCGTGTTTTCCAGCCGTTTGGCCGGGATTTTGGCTCCGATTTGGCCACAGGGGAACTCAGCATTGAAAAACGAGCCAGGGGTA